TGTCTGCCTCCATGGCTGCGAGACCCGCTCCTATGTAATTATAAATAACGAATTCTAAGGCAACGCAAATATTAAGGTTAAGAGGCTGAGCTCGTAGATCATGATAAATAACATAGTTATGTATAATATATTACATTTCTGACTGTATATCCCTGTAATTATTACACACTGTAGCTTTGAAGCAAGAACTCCTGATACATTCGGACCGCACGTAGCGGGAGCGGCAAAAACAAGCGTGCCGCTTCATTTTTGATGCTTCTACAAGTTTATTTCTGACGCAAGCATCTTTGCTGCTCTGGCTGCGCGGAATACAAAAATACAGACAATCCACTGGACTTTCCAAGTTTGAAGATGTTTCTTTTTCATCCAGGAAGCTTTTTCAAATTCAAAATGTCAGAAATAGTGTTGAGTTCCAGGTTTTATCCAGCAGCCCAACAAAGCCGGGTTTTAGTTTAGAAAACATGCAAATTGGAACAGATCCCCTTCGTCCGTAGAAAAAGCTTTCTGGATGGGAAGTGAAACATCTTCAAACTTGGAAACAAAATCCAGTGGATTGTTTTTTTTTTTTGTTTTTTTTTTTTTGAGTTTTCAGTAGATTGTTTTTAATTTTCTTTTTTTTTTTTGGTCTGTGGGAGTGGGTTTCAAACTCAGAACCTCTGGATTCCAAGCTCTATTTTTTTTTTAGAGCAGTGCAGACTGACTTATAAAGGGCTGCTATGACTGTATGTATTTTGTCTACATGTATTTAATCTGCTGCCGTTTTGTATTTTATGCCTCATATTGTTTTACACTTTGTGACGCTTTTCTGAGAAAGGAGCTATAAAAATAAAGCTTAGAGTTTAGGGGGGGATTTACTCGTCACATGTTCTGGACCTTCTCCAAAATAATCTAAAAAGATAAGATTTGGACCTTTGAGCACGAAGTAGGAGAAGCTCTGCTGTAAGGGAAAGTGAGGTAAAGAGCCCCCCCTGGTGTGCAGAAAATGAAAACAAGCAAACAGTCTGAAGAATGTTCACCCTTCATCTACAGGTGCTGGTCATAAAATTAGAATATCATGAAAAAGTAGATTGATTTCAGTAATTCCATTTAAAAAGTGAAACTTGTATATTATATTCATACATTACATACAAACTCATATATTTCAGATGTTTATTTTGTTTAATTTTGATGATTACAAATGACAACAAATGAAAATCTCAAATTCATCATATCAGAAAATTAGAATATTACTGAAGACCAATAAAAACAAAGGATTTATAGAAATGTTGGCCAACTGAAAAGTATGAACATGAAAAGTATGAGCATGTACAGCACTCAGTATTTAGTTGGGCCTCCTTTGGCCTGTATTACTGCAGCAATGCGGCGGGGCATGGAGTCGATCAGTCTGTGGCACTGCTCAGGTGTTATGATAGCCCAGGTTGCTCTAATAGTGGCTTTTAGCTCTTCTGAATTGTTGGGTCTGGTGTATTGCATCTTCTTCTTCACAATACCCCATAGATTTTCTATGGGGTTAAGGTCAGGAGAGTTTGCTGGCCAATTAAGAACAGGGATACCATGGTCCTTCAACCAGGTACTGGTAGCTTTGGCACTGTGTGCAGGTGCCAAGTCCTGTTGGAAAATGAAATCTGCATCTCCAAAAAGTTGGTCAGCTGCAGGAAGCATGAAGTGCTCTAAAACTTCCTGGTATGTGGCTGCGTTGACCCTGGACCTCAGAAAACACAATGGACCAACACCAGCAGATGACATGGCACCCCAAACCATCACTGACTGTGGAAACTTTACACTGGACTTCAAGCAACGTGGATGAAGTGCCTCTCTTCTTTTCCTCCAGACTCTGGGACCTTGATTTCCAAAGGAAATGCAAAATTTACTTTCATCAGAGAACATGACTTTGGACCACTCACCAGCAGTCCAGTCCTGTTTCTCTTTAGCCCAGGCAAGACGCTTCTGACGCTGTCTGTGGTTCAAGAGTGGCTTGACACAAGGAATGCGACAGCAGAAACCCATGTCTTTCATACGTCTGTGTGTGGTGGTTCTTGAAGCACTCACTCCAGCTGCAGTCCACTCTTTGTGAATCTCCCCCACATTTTTGAATGGGTTTTGTTTCACAATCCTCTCCAGGGTGCGGTTATCTCTCTTGCTTGTACACTTTTTTCGACCACATCTTTTCCTTCCCTTCGCCTCTCTATTAATGTGCTTGGACACTGAGCTCTGTGAACAGCCAGCCTCTTTAGCGATGACCTTTTGTGTCTTGCCCTCCTTGTGCAAGGTGTCGATGGTCGTCTTTTGGACAACTGTCAAGTCAGCAGTCTTCCCCATGATTGTGTAGCCTATAGAACTAGACTGAAAGACCATTTAAAGGCTTTTGCAGGTGGTTTGAGTTAATTAGCTGATTAGAGTGTGGCACCAGGGGCCATCAATTTTGAACCTTTTCACAATATTCTAATTTTCTGATATGATGAATTTGAGATTTTCATTTGTTGTCATTTGTAATCATCAAAATTAAACAAAATAAACATCTGAAATATATGAGTTTGTATGTAATGTATGAATATAATATACAAGTTTCACTTTTTAAATGGAATTACTGAAATCAATCTACTTTTTCATGATATTCTAATTTTATGACCAGCACCTGTACATCCAAATGCTGGAGAAGATCCTCAGTTATCCAAAAAAGTAAAAACAATCCAACCAGAACCATCCACCAGTGGAAGTTTTTTTTACTTTTTTGGATCTACATCTAAAGCTCACTCTCCTAATAATTTAATCCCCTAAATAAAGAGACTCGACAATAATCCATCTGGTTTTATTGACCTACACTGATAACCTGCTATTTGTTCTTAAAGGTGCGTCTCTGTGGAAAAAACAACCCAGTGAATCCTAAATGTTGAGAACAAACATCTCTTTATACTTTTTTTTTTAATTCCCATCTTAAGTGTAGCTCAGATCGACACGCATACTTCAGGTATGACTAAAGTATTTATATAGCTTAAAGAAAAGAACAGAATTAGAGACTTAGTATAATGAAAAGCACAATAGTTTCACTGCAGTTCACTGGACTGTAGAAAAACATGGAGGCTGAAAGGGAAAAACCTTCTGTCCTAAAAACAGCGAAGAACATTTTAAAAACATTCCCTCTTAGTATTGGTTTAAAATTCTTATTCACAAAAAATAAGCCAGAAGAGAAATCAATCTCAGATTAATCCATCTAATCTCAGATTAATCAAAATCAGCTGGTTAATTCAGTTACAATTCTATTCAGTTTATTTCTATAGCGCCAATTCACATCATGTCATCTCAAGGCTCTTTACAATTCACAAGATGATCCAGATTAATTTAGAGCACCTAAAACCAACTGAACCATTTTAGTAAAAACTATTTCTTCTAATTGATATTTCAATTAAGATTTCAGCAGGACTTCACTAAGATACATGGAGCTCTGCATCGTCTGCAACTTTCAGTCCTTCTGAATGGGAAAGTCAGTGTTTTACCCCTAATTAGAGTTGGTGAAGATCCTCAGTCATCCAGGTCGTAATTATTCAAAAAATGTTAAAAAAATAAAAAATAATAAAAAAATAAAAATAAATCCAGTGGACTTTTCTTTGAAGTTCCAAGACATTTTGCTTCCCTTCCAGGAAGTTTTCTCCATTCAAAGCTTTTTGAGATGAGAAAACTTCCTGGAGGGGAAGCAAAACTATGGAAGTAAATCTGTGTCGCTGGGATTTGAATTAAAATGCCACTGAAATTTAAATGTTGTATGTTTGTTCTTACTGTTTCAGTGTTAAAATATATTCAGAACACATTTTTGACCAAAAAAAAATAATTGTCATTATTTCTACACAGCTCAAATTTCATTTGTTATTTTCTCTTCAAGCTAAAAATTCACATTACTATTTCAAAGTGATAAAATTTTCAATACTTATTTTTCAATGTTAAAAAAATCTGCATATAAAAAAATTCAGACTCAATATTTTCAGCCTCCTGAGATTCAACTGGCTCTATTTCACAGTCTTAAATTCGGCGTCTAAATTCAGTGTAAAAAGGGAAGGGTTACTTCAGGTCACAGACATTAGCAAAGGATTGTGGCGTCCAACACCCAGCCAATCCCGTTACGTTTTCTTAGTCACGAGACATGACGCTTGTGGCGCTCGTACGGAAGGAAAACCAGCATGAAGGAGCCGGTCATGCTAGCTAACGCTAACTCAACGGTGAGTTTATTACTTTAATTTTTCTGTAGTTGAGTTAGCGTTAGCTAGCATGACTGGCTCCGTCATGCTGGTTTTCCTTCAGTATGAGCGCCACAAGCGTCACGTCATATATGCTGATTTTTTTTTAACACTGAAAAATTTAACTGAAAAATAAGCATTGAAAATTGTATCACTTTGAAATAGTAATGTGAATTTTTAGCTTGAAGAGAAAATAACATGAAATTTCAACTGTGTAGAAATAATGACAATGAATTTTTTTTAGTTCAAAAATGTGTTCTGAATATATTTTAACACTGAAACAGTAAGAACAAACATACAACATTTAAATTTCAGTAGCATTTTTAATTCAAATCCCAGCGACACAGATTTACTTCCATACAGAACATCTTCTATCCTTGGAAACAAAGTCCAGTGGATTGTTTTTTTAAACTTTTACGGAATGACTATGACCTGGATGACTGAGGATCTTAACCAGCATAAAGATCAGAGCATTCCTCACTGCACTGAACTGCAGACACCACTCTGCTCAGATTAGGTCTGGTTTTTTTTCTTAGGATGCTATAGTCTCTGTTTGGTTTGAAATGTTCTGGAATTTTGTGATTGGGATATAAAACCTCAAACTCAACGCTATTTCTGTCATTTTGAATTGAAAAATCTTCCTGGATGGAAGAGAAACGTCTTCAAACTTGGAAACAAAGTCCAGTGGGTTGTTTTAAGTGTTATGTGACCAATTAAATTACTTCCTTTCCAATAATTCACTAAAAGCATCAGCAGAATGTCAGATCGTACCTGGAGGGTTGTTCCTTCGGTTAGCATATGGGTCTTCCGGCTCTGCAAACACGCTGGAGGCCATCTTGTTTTTCCTGACAGGAGGCTTCTCCTCGTCCGACCCGAGTGAAATGTTGGAGCCGCCACCAGGAGGACGCAACACCCTGCAAATGGATCAAAGACAGCGGTTCTACCAAATGCTGGCTCCTTCAGGGTTTTTTATTTTTTAAGAAATCTAGAGAAATGACCTAAAAATATACAAATACCACAAACAAAACAAAACATTTTGGTATTAAAATGACAGATAAATGTGAACAGAGAGCATGATGGCTTTTGCTGTGAACCATTGATTTCATTTTAGATTTGCTTGGGATTGATTGTTTATGGAAAAGTTTGACCTGGCTCAAGCCGGGCATAAGCGGTACGATCGTTCAATGGTTGCACGCAGCAACAGCTCAAACCGTATGACCCGACGCTCTGAAGCGATCTACCTGCACACAGGGTACGTCCAAAAACCACGTCGGACTTGTCAATCTGGAGGAAGAAGAACTCCGTTGTTTGCACATATCCAGTTCACCAGGTTCTGGTAAATGGGCTCGTAGCTCTAGCCTCATGAGACCATCCTAATCTCACGAGCTTTCAAGGTTTCACTCGCAGATCAGTCTGGAGACTCTCCGTTAAAGAAAATTTGGAGCCGTTCACCAAACGAACGTCCAATCAGCGTTGGCTTTGAGGCGGGTTGAGGTGTGACGCAACGAGAAACGCGACAGTTCAGTCTAAAGAACATGGCGGCTTCAGCCGATGAAACTAGCGTTAGCGTGGCTATCGAGCAAGTTTTATGGGAATTACAGAGTATTTCTTCACTGAAAGAAGAGCAAAACACTGCTCTGGAGGCTTTTCTCAGAGGAAAAGATGTTTTTGCTCTTCTCCCGACTGGTTTCAGCAAGAGTTTGATCTATCAATTGGCCCCTCTTCGTCGTCGCTCTGTTAGTACGTCATATGCTTCGTTGATCTGATTGGTTTATTTGGCCCGTCTATCACCAACATAGGCCAATCAGCTAACCAGTATTTTCGCCCCTTCCCAAAATTACTTCAACGGAAGGTTTCCAGATGGATATGCGGAGCAAATCCATCTGGCGGAGTCAGGTTATCGTACACTATATTGCCAAAAGTATTTGCTCACCTGCCTTGACTCACATATGAGCTTAAGTGACATCCCGTTCCTAATCCATAGGGTTCAATATGACGTCGGTCCACCCTTTGCAGCTAGAACAGCTTCAACTCTTCTGGGAAGGCTGTCCACAAGGTTTAGGAGTGTGTTTATGGGAATTTTTGACCATTCTTCCAGAAGCGCATTTGTGAGGTTGCACACTGATGTTGGACGAGAAGGCCTGGCTCTCAGTCTCCGCTCTAATTCATCCCAAAGGTGTTCTATCGGGTTGAGGTCAGGACTCTGTGCAGGCCAGTCAAGTTCATCCACACCAGACTCTGTCATCCATGTATTTATGGACCTTGCTTTGTGCACTGGTGCACAGTCATGTTGGAAGAGGAAGGGGCCAGCTCCAAACTGTTCCCACAAAGTTGGGAGCATGGAATTGTCCAAAATGTCTTGGTATGCTGAAGCATTCAGAGTTCCTTTCACTGGAACTAAGGGGCCAAGCCCAGCTCCTGAAAAACAACCCCACACCATAATCCCCCCTCCACCAAACTTTACACTTGGCACAATGCAGTCAGACAAGTACCGTTCTCCTGGCAACCGCCAAACCCAGACCCGTCCATCAGATTGCCAGATGGAGAAGCGCGATTCGTCACTCCAGAGAACGCGTCTCCACTGCTCTAGAGTCCAGTGGCGGCGTGCTTTACACCACCGCATCCGACGCTTTGCATTGCACTTGGTGATGTATGGCTTGGATGCAGCTGCTCGACCATGGAAACCCATTCCATGAAGCTCTCTGCGCACTGTTCTTGAGCTAATCTGAAGGCCACATGAAGTTTGGAGGTCTGTAGTGATTGACTCTGCAGAAAGTTGGCGACCTCTTCGCACTATGCAGCATAGCATCCGTCAGTTTACGTGGCCTACCACTTCGTGGCTGAGTTGCTGTCGTTCCCAAACACTTCCATTTTCTAATAATACAGCTGACAGTTGACTGTGGAATATTTAGGAGCGAGGAAATTTCACGACTGGATTTGTTGCACAGGTGGCATCCTATCACAGTTCCACGCTGGAATTCACTGAGCTCCTGAGAGCGACCCATTCTTTCACAAATGTTTGTAAAAACAGTCTGCATGCCTAGGTGCTTGAATTTATACACCTGTGGCCATGGAAGTGATTGGAACACCTGATTCCAATAATTTGGATGGGTGAGCAAATACTTTTGGCAATATAGTGTAGCTCTGCTTCAATCACAAGATTTGTCCACGACCACCTTACAACGGCCGACTGAATTTCAAACATCTATGATTTTCTCCCGACCTTACGATTCCTGATGGGGAGGTGGTCGTTAGAGGCTGATCTCCCCTCGTTACCCCCTGTACACGACACCACGGACCATCAGGCTGAAAGTCAGCCCGGTCCAAAAATTGTCACACTACTGGAGAATTGGCCAGAAAAAGGAAAAAATAAATAAATAAATCCTACAGCTTTGCTTTGATTCTGTTTTATCTTCCTGTATTTTAATCATGTAAAGCACTTTGCATTGTCTTTGTACTGAATTGTGCTACACAAATAAATTTGCCTTGCCTTGCCTTACAGTGTACACTCTGCTTTAGTATTAAAGATGGATCAGAAACCAGCATGACCACCAAAACCAGTGAGCTGCCACTAGCAGAAATTTTTTTTGTGTGCATCTTTATTGCCGACCATCCCAATCCTGCCTAAATGTCATAATACATGGCAGAAGGTTCGTAAGCAGGTTTGGTTGTGGCGGGTTTGTGGGAAGAATCTTGCTAACCAGTTAGCATCTTAGTGCTAGCAGGTTCCCAATGGGAAATTCCATTGGGACCAAGTAGCACTAAATTGGTGCCTTAGAAACGACGCTGTCAAGGAACGCTATGGACAGAGGAAACATGCAAGAGGAGGAGAGTTTAGTGTCGGAGGTCGTGGATGAGTCTCCTCCGTCATCCATTTTTTATTTAGAGGAGGAAAGCGGGGACGAAGATGTTGTGGAAGAGGACGCCAGGGCGGCAGAAGCTTGGTTTGGTGTAGAAGGCTTCCAGCCGTACATGTTTGAGCCCTTGCCTCGCAACGCTGCCAGTTCTGTTAGCTCTACGCCTGCCGAAGACACAGACGTCCATCCCCGTGAACACTGGGACGCAACTCAATGGGAAAGGAAAGGATTCTGATTTCAACCGTTGCGTATATTAGCTGCGACACATGAATCAAGATGCTATGACCGAAAACATTAGATTGACAGATGACCGTTGATATATGATTGGCCGAATTTAGGTGTTCAGGCTGATGTACAACTAACTGGCCTGCAGAAGATAACGAGAAAAAAACAGATTTAAGACAGGATTGTTTTTTTTTATAGAAATTTTCTAAATGTTAGAACAATATGGTTTGATAAAGAGTACAGTTATATACATGTTTAAGACAGAATGATTTGACATTTAAACATGATTTCCCTCCGACTTTCATCTCTATTTCAGGGGATTAGTGAGGATCCAGATTAATTCAAACCTTTCATGTCAGATAAAATCCCCACAGGGCTGGACCTGAGCACCAGGCGTGGCCTGCTATCCTGTGGCCCTGCTTCTGATCAGGCAGCGTGCTGGCCACCTCACTCCACATCAGCTGTTGTCTTGACAACCGATCTGAAATGAGCCCAGACCCCACCCTAATGGAGCTCTCTATCGTGTGTGAAACGCTTTTCAGACTGTAAACACGACAAGCCACGGCTGGGAAATGAGCTGCAGACTGTAGAAAAGACACGAGGCCTTTATATATGATCCCCGAGCAGCTAGCTTAGTACCTTTTTATAAAAAGGGCTGGTCCATGCCTGCTAACAAGCTAACTATAGAAAAAAAAACCTACACCCTACACCGAAAGCAGTTATTTCTCTGCATCTGGAAGCTTTTTATTCGGTTATCTAAACATTTAATCGAGCCTTTGGAAAATGTGTTTGAATCTATCCGTTAGCAATAGTCCCATGGTGGTCAGGATGCTGACCGGTTGGGGCTAAAGGCTCCACATCGGGCTGAAATAAGCCTTTTATTTACCTGGAGCTGCTTTTAGATCCGGGCTCCATCCCCTGATAGTTCGTTGTTGTCGTCATTTCTGCACAAAGACGCCGCGCGCTAAAGATAAACCTGTCAGGAGTCACTAAACTGCACTTATTTAAACAATGCTTCACCACCTCATCATCGCCTGAACAGGCTAGCGTTCGCGAAGGATCAGCATCCACCTGCCTGCAATCCGAGCCGGAAGTCCAGCCCGAGAACCGCGTCCGACTTCCGGCTGAGACTTCAAAATAAAACTCATAAAATCTCAGGATTCAAATGAGGAAATTCTATTCTAGTATTCTATGTGCATGATGGTATATATTATAATTATAATATTGCATGTGCACGATCGTATATATTGTTATTATTTCTACACATCATCACAAGACAGTAGATCTCAAGGACCAGGGCGAACAGGAGAATTAAGATATTAAATTCAGAAACTGTCCCAGAAATGCTTTTTCTAAAGGCTATTTCCAACTTGGACAATGCAGCTTTCAGAAACAATCACTTTTTTTTTTTTTTTTTGCGTGGTTGTTCATATTTCCTAATGTATGCGACTTGTATGTAGGGGTGGGGGGAATTTTTTTTTGGCTGCCTGATATATTGTTCCTAGTTCTGATTTTTCTAAAGCAAAACTTTACCTAAAACTGAGGGGGAAAGGGCTACCTCTGCACCGCCACTCTGGCAGGTGGCGCTGTGGAGCCTATTTGCTGTGCGATGCAGCGCCATATCTGTAGTTGTCATACATTTAATTTTGATAGTAGAAAAAATATTGCAGTATATGATGTTGCTTTATAGTGATATCTTATCGTGACCCAAGTATTGTTACACGTATCGTATTGCAACATCCATGCCAATCCTCACCCCTGCTTTTATGTGAACTGCACTCATACAACTTAAGTGTCCCTCCTGCGCAGTTAGGGCTGGTTATAATCATTTTTGTTTTTGGTGTGCTAAATATCAGAATTGAGCATCAGGCCTGCAGCGCGGACGCAGTCTCTGTTGTTGCCAAAGCGCTCAGCTTATTCCCCTGTTCCGTCTCTGGCTGAATTCTTCTCCAATGTTACTTAAAATGTGTGAGCTATGGACAGAACTCTGTTTACACCGACTACCTGGGGAAATAAGTGGCACTTTATTTAGGATATAATTCAATTAAAAGAATCTGCTTAAAAAGATGCAGAAAAGAAAATCCATCATCTGTAAAAAAAAAAAAAAAAAAACATGCGTTTCCTCCACTTTTGTTTTGCACTTGATACATGAATGGTCATAACTGAATGGGAGGAAGTTTTAAGGGTTTGAATACTTCCTGCAAGGCACCACGAGTCAGAAGGGAACCTGAACACCAAACATAAAAAAAAAAAAAAGTCAGTTTATTTCAATAACACATTGTAAAACAAAAGATGTTGGCATAATTAAAACACGGGGTTTCTCAATGACGATATTTCCTCCCAATGAAGATCCCTGCTGATGCACGTCAATGATTATCTGTATAGCGATTTACAGCAACACCAGAAAGACCAAAGAGCTTCACAGAAAACTAAAGACATTGTAAAAAAAAAAAACTAAAATCCTAAGAATAAAACAGTGTCCTAGCCGGGGATAGTGTGATTTTTTTCAATCGTTGCATGCAGCTCACTTGCGGAAACCCTGTGGTTTCATCATACGGCTCTGCACAGCAAAACGGTAGGGTTTAAACGTTCACAGCTCATGATGTTTGTTCTCACACTGTGTGTCTAAAAACCCACTTTGGACTTAACTCCGCAATGAGATGGAGCTATCCGGAATCGTCTATTCAGAACAACTCCGTTGTTTGAACATGCACAGTGCTCAAGGTTCTGGAAAATTCACTCATAGCTCTGCTTCAACGACCACAGCCCAGCTGAATTTCAAACGTTTGATTTTCTCCCGACCTTACGATTCCTGATGGGGAGGCTGATCGCCCCTCGTTACCCCCCTGTACACAACACAAGGGAGCAGAAACTGCCCGATTGAGAAAATCATCTCACAACTGGAGAATCAGCCTGAAAAGTAGTGTTGCTCCGATGCCATTTTTTGGCTTAGATACCGATACGTGGCTGTGCGGTATCGGACGATACCATCTGTTTGAAATTAATGTGTGTATATATGAAGAACTGCAGACTACTTGGATGTAAAATATTCACCATAATGGCTTGGTTAAGCTGCTGCCTACCTTTGTGAAGCAGGAAAAAGACAAAAAAAAAGTGAAACCAGTAGAACTTTTTATTGCCTACCTGGAATGGGTGACAAAATGGTATCAGTGCCCTGTTTGATGGTACCGATACCAGCCTTTTAGTGCTGGATCAGGGATCCACCCAATACTGGTATCGGTACAACACTACAGAAAAGGGTAAAAAAATTAAATCGTACAGCGTATGCCCGGCTGAAGTATTAAAAAGCCCGTTTGTAAAATCAGTCTCTAATCTGGACTTGGGCAGATCTGTGAGAACCTGCAGACCGAGGGCCAGGCCCTTCCACAGTTTAGGTGCGGTAAATATAAAGGAACGATCGTCCCACTGTTTATACTGGGATCTGGGCACGTCCAGAACCATTTGCTCTGCTGGGGTAACCTGCATTAAAAATCTGAGTTAAAGTAATAGTACACCCAAAACATGATTAGCCTTCATTTTCTACTCACCCCCATGCTGAACAACACTCTGGAGTACTTTTTTGATATCTCAAATGCATCTGGAGATCTGGGAGGCTTCTTGCTGTCTGCTGACATTCAAATAATGGAGGTCTATGGCGCCCGAGGCAGAAAGGTCCATAAAAGTCCACAAAAAACGTGTCAATATTCCTCCATACTGCTCGTCCAATGTATTCCAAGTGTCCTGAGTGGGTAGCGTCCATAATTTACTGGAAACAAAGTCATTTAGAATGTTTTTAGAGCATAAACAGTAGTGTATAGGATTTCCTGAAAGCGCGCACCTGCGCGATCACGACGCTACGGAAGCCGGCAGACCAAACCAGATAAAAGTGCGCATTCAGCGTCTGCTCTGCCGATAATGCAAGCGTAGAAGAAGAAATGTGCTGTTTACCTGTGCAAAGAAAGAAACAACGAAAGAAAAATGTCTGAGGACTTCAGTGTTGAGGAAGAGCATGAGTTCTTTGCCGAGCTGAATGCGCTGGTTTGGTCTGCCGGCTTCTGTAGCGTCGGGATCGCGCTTTCAGGAAATCCTATGCACTACTGTTTATGCTCTAAAAACATTCTAAATGACTTTGTTTCGAGTAAATTATGGACGCTACCCACTCAGGACACTTGGAATACATTGGACGAGCAGTATGGAGGAATATTGACACGTTTTTTGTGGACTTTTATGGACCTTTCTGCCTCGGGCGCCATAGACCTCCATTATTTGAATGTCAGCAGACAGCAAGAAGCCTCCCAGATCTCCAGATGCATTTGAGATATCAAAAAAGTACTCCAGAGTGTTGTTCAGCATGGGGGTGAGTAGAAAATGAAGGCTAATCATGTTTTGGGTGTACTATTCCTTTAAGTTTAAAGGAGCGAAGCCAAGAAGGGCTTTAAAAACAAGTATTAAAATTTAAATCAAACCGAAAACGGAGGGGGAGCCAGTGCAGGGTGGAGAGGACGGGAGTGATGTGAAACTGGAGAGGTTCATCCAGACGTGTGTGAAAAAAATATACCCAAAAAACCAAACATATTAAAAAAAACAACAGTATTTTTATTTTATTTTTCTGGCTCTTGGAAAGAAGAAAATAAAACCAACTCATGAAGCTTTTAATACCTCCACTTCACGGTTCAGACATGCCAACTTATGGTGGATGTGATGCAGGTCTATGTCAACTCTCCCTGCTGCCTTTCGGCGTTTCATACAAGTTTCCCACGGATGATATAAACACTGGTGATGAGCATATGAAGACTGGGTGTGACAAAGGAACAAACGGGAGGTAGGGATGTCCACAGGAAACAGTCTTTAAAGAGTCCAGCCTCCTGTTTGCTGTTGGAACACATCAATCGTATCTTCATCTTCCATTTCTAGCTGCAAGAGAAACATTTCATCAGTGCAATCTGTGTGTTAAATGGAACATTTTTAGATAAAAAAAAGTCTACAAATGCATTTATTAATGTAGCACTACTTTAAAAGTATTAATGTAGAGGCAGGTTTAGATAAGGTGAACAAAAGACCACTCAGGAAATACATTTTGTTTTAGGATACGAACAAATAGAGGCAACCTTTGAAAAAACAACAAAAAACAAAAACGACTGCAGTAAATTTAAAGGGGGGGGGGGGGGGGGGGGTTTATATGGAGTCAGAAAGAGGTCAAAATTTTTGTTAAATTCTAAGTCTTAGTTGTAAATGAAAAAAATAAAACTTGACACAGAAAAAATAGAAGTTGATATTTTTACCTTATAATGTGAGAAATTAAAAAAGTAAACATAAAAAAAAATCAAAATTTAATCTAAATTCTGTTTACTATATTAATTGCACTTTTTTTTATTTATTGCAATTTCAGACTTTTACATTTTCAGATTCAAATCCTTTTCTTTCAGTTTCAGACAGAATTTACTTCATGGTCGTGGGAAACTTTTGTGGTTTATACAATGGCTTTTTATTTTTATATATATTAACGCATCCTGGAATGCGGATTAGTAACAGTTTTAGTGTAAAAGTCTTTATTGTAATATTTTTGACGGGATTTTGCCGAAAAGGCAAATAAATGCTGCAGAGGATGTGTTCACCAAGTAGTTGGGAGTTCCCACAGTCCATGAATGCAACATGGAACAGGACATATCTCCAGTGCTGCAAGCTGTCAATCATGTTTCCCCGCCCACTCCCATCAGGCTGGGGTCAAAATCTGAATCTAAAAAAACAAAAATGATATGAAAGAGCAAAAAAAAAAACAAAACAAAAAAAAACCTGAAACTGAAAAAGAAATTTGAAAAAAAAAAAAAGGATTTGAATCTGAAAATATAAAAAATAAAGAGGAAAAGGTGTGATTAAAAAACTAAACTGAATTATGAGTTTTTTTTCCAAGCTGAGATAAAGAATTTAGATTCAATTTCTATTTTTTATGCTTGCTTTTTTTATAAGTTTACAAACATTTTGATCCCTTTCTGACTCCATAGGTTCATCAATGCACATTATTTTCCATATAATCTTAATTTAGAAAAATGCAATTTTCAAATCACAGAGGCACTCAGTTTTAGTCGCAATCCATTAAAGGGTCATAGATGCAAAACAGTTTCTATTGTCATAGATGAATAACGATAGTTCAGTGGGTGAAATAGACGTACAGAGAAGATCAAATCCCATCAACACCTCCTTTCTCAGCAAATCCCACTATTCTAAACTTCCACCATAAAACGGGTGAATCCAAATGAAGCACAGAGTTGACGTCAACTTGGGGATGTTGACTTATTTGGTTCTGGCCTGGACTTTTATCTCGCCCTGAAATTAACAGAGACCAGCCCACTGGTTCACGGCCCAGGAACATGAATAGAGGTCGATGGAAGACAGCAGTTTAGCTGTTCAGCCTACAGTTGGGTTTAATTCTACAAGAATTACAAAGCAGGAAGTTTCTCTATTGAAAAAGAACCACGGGAGGAAATGCAGCGTTCCAGGCTGCAAGAAGAAAGGAGAACATTTTCACAGTCTTCCGAAGGATCTGAAGACTCGACAGGCATTGATTATTTTAGTCCATCTGAAGATCCCTGCAAAGTTTTATGCGCAGCTACTGACTGGACAGCCAGGGGAAAGCATGGGGCCGCTGGTGTCGGGTTCGGTCGCTCTGTTCCCTGACCAGCCCGGAGCTGACGGCTCGGTTCTGCTGCACTGCAGTCGACCAAAATCCCGGACGATTTTGAAATTCTACCTGGACATTTTTTTTTTAGGTATGAAAAGTAGGACATGTTGGGGAAAAAGAGGGCGTCTGGTCACCCTACCCCTTTGTTTTTTATTAATTCTATGTTAATTTTTATTTATTTATTGTCATTGTCAAGACTGTCAAATGGTAGTGAATGTTGAACTTATCTAACTAAGGGGATTTGTCCTAAACTCCTCCTTAACTATGCTTTTTTTAATCATTTCATATACACACACACATATATATATATATATATATATATATATATATATATATATATATATATATAGTTTTTCCTCCCACTGTTGCTACAAGCATGCTTAGTGTGAGGGATTGCTGAAGAGTCAATGAGTCAATGCAATCAGCTGGTTTTAATGGGCATTACGCTGCTGTGCGTTATGTATAAGTTAGGCTGTCGTTAGACAGAACTTCTGGACTTGTTATGAATAATCTATGTTTACGCCCTAGATTGGAAAATCATAGAGTTCATAGAACTCATAGAAGTTCAGCGTACGGCAGCGTTTTAGGAGATTCTGGGACGTCAGGCAGACGCTGTATAAGTGGGCAAGGTGTGACAGAGGCCTGAAATAACTTAAACAGTTAAAGAAAGAAAAGACGTGACATCAACGTTTATCAGCTTACCTGTGAAGGTGTGTCGGTCTCATTAATCGGCTGACCGTCAAATCGAAATCTAATTTGCCTCATTGACAGACCCTGAGGAGACAGAACCAACATCAGGTGTTTTAAACCTTCATTTAACTGGAAACAACAAAACTCAATGAATTAATTGAATCTATTTTCTGCCCAGGCCTTGTGTCAGCTGGGTGAGTAATCGCTTTATGTAATCGCAGGGTGTCGCAGGTATTACTGATTGAGGCATCTTGAAGGGATTCAACACATTGCCAAACTGTATTGACGCTGCGATGGATACTTTCTCACTGAATACTGACACCTGCTGGACATTTAAAGACACTACAGGCAGCTTACAGACTAAAGTGAAGTGTTTTGATGACCTAGAAAAATTATATATTTGAAGTTATTGGAGGTTATATTGTATTGTGTGATACCTGTGTTTAAATTTAAAATATCCTGGGATATTTTAGGTGCACTCAATAAATAATATTAAATATATATTAAAACGAGAAAATTTAGGGGAAAATGTGAATGAGGATGCTGGTGGACTAAGAATTTAAATCATATTTTTACAGTAAAAACAGTAAATAAACTAAGAGTCAATTTGAAATGAACTTTAATTCAGATAAGTTGAGTGATAACAGGAAAAGGATGACACAATGAGAAAATTAAAACGGCTGAAACTTTCCTATTCCTTTTAGGCTGCTCCAAAATTATTGATCATTTTCATGATAAACTGCAAAAGATGAGACTTTTTTAACTACATGCATCAGAAACGATTCTAAAAGGAAAAGTCGCTCATATTCAGAATTCAAACTTCTGAAAGTTCTTTAAATGTGAAATGATTCCATCCTGTTCAATAAATGATCAGTGTTTTTAATTCAGAGTAATTTTCATGTGAATGTGCTTTACTGGAGGCATCCATGTTTGTCAAAGAACACTACTGCCACCTACTGGTTAGTGACATTGTCACGGTGCGGTATCGGCTGTTGATCAAGTCCCAGTGCTGTATCTGGTGTTTGTCACAACGCGCTATTATCCAAGTCATCTTGAAAACATTCTTCTTCCAAATGTTGGCTACATATTACGGGTTTTTTCTCTGGCCAGAAGTTCGATGTCAAATCCTCCCTCTTCAAGTTGGCGATCCAACGACCAACCCGTCCGTGGAGGATCAGGATCAGTTTCACTATAGCTCTGGTGAATTTCAATGGTGAAGTCCTCTGGAAATCTTCAATAATTGTTGTTGATTGCAGATGTGTCTAGTAGTTCCCATTGATTTAGCTTGGAAAGCGGGGAGAATGGCGCTAGGCTTACCGCGCCGTGACGTCACTGCTGGAAGATGGCAGGAGGGAGGGGCTACTATATTTGGGCAAAAATGGCCGCTCCCAGACTCAGTGATTGGGACAATCAATTATTGAATGTTTTTTAAAGGATTAACCCTAATTTCATGAAATCACAATGAACGTATTAGTTTTAGGTATAAATAACAACCCGTTGATTATTCCTTGCTGACCAGACTTTTCCTTTAAGCACAGTTTAGTGGAGGGGTCGGCAATTCAACTTCTTGGGGGCCAGTATCCTGCAACTTCAGATTCTTCCTTGGTCCAACACGCCTGAATCCAGTGGCTGAGTTTCCTCCTCAGCATGCAGTCAGGTCCTCCAGAATCCTCTCAATCATATAATTATTTGATTCAGGTGTGTTGAACCAAAGGCACATCTAAAAGTTGCAGGGTACCGGCCCCCGGGAACTGGAAGTTTCCACCCCAGCTTTAGGGAGTCATTCAGTTAGAAACACCTCCTGTATCAGTCACATGACTTCCTTGAAATGACACGCACACTGATAGTGTTTTGCTCTGTGGACTCGACGCGTCGGTGTTGCTGGACTCATCACCACCTACGAGAACCTGGTCCCTTCATATTTCCACAGGAGCCAGATCTGTGCAGATCCCTGTGGTGTGGATGCAGCTTTCTGTACTCAGAGTCAAAGAGTCTGTTGTCTCACCTGCCGTTCGCAGTAAGCTTTCATCAGCTTGCTGAGAGGAGTGTGCCTTTTGATCTTGAACTGCACTACTGAACCATCCTGCCCGGCCACCTTTAGGTTGATGTGCTCGTTATTCTCAGTCTTAACTCCTTCCTGGGGGAAAAAAAAGAAATCAAATTAACAAAGAGCAAAGCACCGTTTCAAAACCTACAAGTCACTTTGTGGTGCAACAAGCCAAAACCTTTAAACTACGGTGACCAGATGTCCCATATCTCTGGGGACGTTTTATGAATGAAGGGGACAATGTTGTGTGTAGACTGTTATTACGGTAGAAAGAGCGCACAGAAACAGCTGTTAGCTAGCTGATTGGCAGCTGTTGACGTAAAGATAAGGAGCACACCGCACCACTTTGCAGCTGCCTTGTGTTATGGTGAGCGTGTTAATCGGTTTATTTGATTTGAATTGGGCTGATTGTGCCGGTGAAGATTCATCCAGGTCATAGTTGTCCAAAAAAAATAAAATAAAATAATAATCCACTGGAGTTTGTTTCATAGTTTGAAAACGTTTCTCTTCCCATCAAGGAAGCTTTTTCCATATAAAATGTCAGAAATAGCGTTGAGTTCCAGGATTTATCCAGCAGCCCAACAAAGTCTGGTTTTTGTTTCGAAAATATGCAAATAGAAACGGAGGAATCAATGCTAGGAAACAAAAAAACAACCATAAACAGAGGGGGTGACTCAGATTTCAGCTTTTAAAAACCTACAATGCAGTAATAGAGTTGATTCCTTCCCACCATCATCGCAGCTCCAACCCCTTTACAGGAGAACAGAAGACTTCACCTATTCAGCCAGGCCAACAATCCCCTTTAACGACCCCCCTTTCAGAGACATAGACAGGTATGGCCCCCATTCCAAAGGGGGGGACTCGTTCGTCGTTAGATTCTGATTCTGATTTCAACCGTTGCGTATATTAGCTGTGACATATCAATCAAGATGCTATGATGGAAAGCAGACATGGGCAATGTGGAGTCAACAAGTCATCTCCATGTCATGTATTTGTTCTCCCCAGCCGCTGAAGCAGGTGAGTCCAATCTTCACCGTGAATTAACCTGTGCAGATTGGACTCACCTGATTAATTTGCTGGGTAGATTAAATACATGACATGGAGATGACTTGTTGACTCCACATTGCCCATGTCTGATGGAAAGAATGTGATTGACCGCTGATACGTGATCGGCCAAATTTAGGTGTTCAGGCTGACGTATAACTCACTGGCCTGCATGAGATAATGAAGAAAAAACACACTGATTTTAGGACAGGGTTTTTTAAAATTTTCTAACATTTGGGTCAATATGGTCTAACAAAAAGTACATTTATATACATGTTTAAGCCAGAATGATTTGACATTTATTAGGAGTTCCCTACGATTTTAATCTTAGGAAATAGAAGAGGTGCATTCCTGGATTTTACAAATGGATGAAAGCATCGTTGTCCAAGTTTCCTATTTTAATTTTCATGAAATTTATTTGTGTTCTTTATCTACGAGCTGGAAATGTCCCCAGATTAGATTGCAGAAATCTAGTCACCAAACTTTAAACACTAGAGCATTTTACCATCAATGGAAACCAGCAGTAAGGGGGAGATTAAAGAGCTAAACCATCTAGCTTTAACTGTGGGGGCTCAATCACCAGGGTGGGGGTCAATCTAAACCTGTCATATTTTACTGTAAAGAAAGAAAATTGGGGTTCAAGTCACAGAATCAAACATGCGCTCCAGTCATTAGCTTTTTGTCCTAGCCGGTCATGTTAGCTGCAGTTTTACAATGCAGGCCGGTTCTCTCGCCTTTGATCCTGAACCTGATTTAAACTCTTCATTCGAGCAACAATCAAGTAAAACACTTCTTAAAGGGGACCCGCTGTTAACAGTTGCTCCAAAACAAATATATTCATTTGATTCTATAGACTCGGAGCCGTTAGCTTATTATGCTAACTTTAGCCGCAACGGCTAAAAGTAGCATAATAAGCTAGCTTTTTTTGTTTTTATTTTTAGTTTAAATGCGGCTGGTTACGTACAAACCCAGTATCTTGTGTGAATTATGGAGAGTAAATTATTACAAACCGCTCCCCACCTTGGGTTTCTCGTCCGCCATCGTAGTTGTTTCTTCTGTTACTACTACCACTGCTAATGCTACCTAAGCTAGCCGTGAGCCTGGTCTTCTGCGCATGCGCTGTATGGGGCGCCAAACACTGCACGCTTCATTCAACAGGCAGTAGAAGTCTATAGACATATATGTATAAGAGTAGACTCTGCATTGTCGCGGCACAGGAATTACGGGCGCCATCTTGGGGAGGTCGACCTGCTGCTCTGATCTACTGGTTTAAGCAGAACAGAAGAAGGATGCCGCAGCACTGCACAAGATCTTTGTCTAAATCAACTAAACATATATATATATATATATATATATATATATATATATATATATATATATATATATATATGTAGTTAAATATTTATTTAACAATCTAAATATCAAATATTTAACAATCTAAATATTTAGTTTGGTGGGATCCTAAGCCAGGTTTTGCATTCTATCACCGCTTTTATGCTGATACTGGCACTTACATTTTATAGTTTATAAACCTAAAATAATTGTTAACTAGGCTTATAAACTTTTTAACTTTACTTTTTAACTTTTCAATTAGCTTTTTAACTTTTTTTCTTAACTTGTTAAAATTTTTCTCAGCTTAATATCTAGTAGGTGATCTATCATTCAAAGGCTCATCTTATAGGTGAAATGCCAAAATCAGATGTTCAGCCACGTAGCAGCATCTTTGCTGAATGGCTGCATATAGATCTTGTGCTTCTAGACACTGAGGGAAGTGAACAAAAACACTAACTTGCCCTATAAAGGGTTAAACCTGATATTTAACCTCAGCTTTCACTAAATGGATGTCTGTCTCTCTCTCCCTCGCTGTTGGGATTAAACAGGTGAACAGGTGGACGGACGGCTAAATAGAGAAATGGACAGAGGATCCTTCTCTTCTTTTTGCTCTGACTCAGTTTATAAACTTCAACATTGCTGGGGGAAAAAGGCAAATCAGGCGAAGCGTTTAATACAAATAGATCCATCACTTTTATTGGTCCCATGCACAGAAAAAGCTTTTCAAAAATATGCAAAGACAATTCAACAATCCCAAATAAATACTTTCAAAAGAAATATGTAAAGAAGTACCACTGACAGACTTTAATGTTTTAAATCCCCCCCCCATACTATTTCTTTTATTTGAAGACATAAATAATAGAGATAACATTTCTAATTTAAAACATGAAGCTCCTCCCACACAACACAAGTCATTTACACTCATCTGACCCTTCAGCTGAGTTTCAGCATCATTTAACATCAGCGGCGGAAGGAAACATACGATATAAATGCCGTGTTTCTGATTTTAAACAGTTTGACCGTCAGCAGCAACTCATCTCCTCTAAGCAGATCCTCCTTCGCTGTTAAAGGAAAAGTCCGGTCAGCAAGGAATAATCAATGGATCATTATTTATACCTAAAACTAATACGTTTGAGGTGATTTAATGAATTTAATCAGTAAAAAAATAAAGTCTGGGAGCGGCAAACATATAGTAGCCCCTCCCTCCTGCCATCTTCCAGCAGTGACGTCACGGTGCGGTAAGCCTAGCGCCATTCTCCCCGCTTTCCAAGCTAAATCAATGGGAACTACTAGACACATCTGCAATCAACAACAATTATTGAAGATTTCCAGAGGACTTCACCATTGAAATTCACCAGAGCTATAGTGAAACTGACAATGCCCACGTGCATGGCAGCTGGATGCTGGAATACATCGGGGAAAAGTGAAAAAAAAGAGTTATTCCACCTTTCTGATTCCTGATCCTCCATGGACGGGTTGGTCGTTGGATCGCCAACTTGAAGAGGGAGGATTTGCCATCGAACTTCTGGCCAGAGAAAAAACCCGTAATATGTAGCCAACATTTGGAAGAAGAATGTTTTCAAGATGACTTGGATAATAGCGCGTTGTGACAAACACCAGATACAGCACTGGGACTTGATCAACAGCCGATACCGCACCGTGACAATGTCACTAACCAGTAGGTGGCAGTAGTGTTCTTTGACAAACATGGATGCCTCCAGTAAAGCACATTCACATGAAAATTACTCTTTAGAGGATTTCAAAGGATTATGAAGAATAATTTGTTTGTTCAGGTTACATCTCACAGAAAATTACCAGATGCAATTTTTCCATTTGAAAGTTTCATCAATTAAGTAAAGAGACAAATAATTTAGTGTCAGATACAAGCAGAGCTTGGTGTAAAACACTAAGCGTCAAACCTCAGTTAAATCCATTAATTAAATTAAGTCTTTTTTCATCAAAATGCTACCAGACAAAACATGAGGATCACATTGGAACGATGAGGAGTTTTAGTCTGTTCTTCATCTCGGTTTATTCAGCATTCCTCAACAAGAGGAAACGTACAGAAGAGGATTAGGGCCACTGAAAAAAATAAAAAGGTAACTGATTTTTTTTTTTCATTATTTCAGTTTACAATGGGATAAAAGTCAGAATTCCGACTTTAATCTCGGAATTCCGACTTTAATCTCGGAATTCCGACTTTAATCTCGGAATTCCGACTTTAATCTCGGAATTCCGACTTTAATCTCGGAATTCTGACTTTAATCTCGGAATTCTGACTTTAATCTTGGAATTCTGACTTTAATCTTGGAATTCTGACTTTAATCTTAGAATTCTGACTTTAATCTCACATTTCAGATTTTAATCTCACAATTCAGATTTTAATCTTACAATTCAGATTTTAATCTCACAATTCAGATTTTAATCTCAGAATTCAGACTTTAATCTTAGAATTCTGAGTTTAATCTTAGAACTCTGACTTTAATCTCGGAATTCTGACTTTAATCTCGGAATTCTGACTTTAATCTCGGAATTCTGACTTTAATCTTGGAATTCTGACTTTAATCTCACATTTCAGATTTTAATCTCACAATTCAGATTTTAATCTCACAATTCAGATTTTAATCTCAGAATTCAGACTTTAATCTTAGAATTCTGACTTTAATCTTAGAATTCTGAGTTGAATCTTAGAACTCTGACTTTAATCTCGGAATTCAGATTTTAATCTTAGAATTCTGACTTTGATCTTAGAATTCTGCCAGCTAACAAACATGTTAGCATCAAGCCGTAGCCATGTCTGTTTTAGTGACTAAACTCACTCTCTTCTTTTAATCACGTTCTGTTCTTCCATTAATGAAAGAGCATCAGTGGTGAAAAGTCAGAATTCTGAGAAAAAAAGTCATTATTTTATTTAAACTTTTAAAATTTTAAAAATCAATTAACTTTTTTTTTATTTTTCCAGTGGCCCTAATCCTCTTCTGTAGAAATGTAGGATTTAAATTAAGATAAAATGACTTTAACACCATTATGGACTAATATTGGAGTCTCACTGGCTTCTAACCACCAGTCACACTTCATGCCTTCTGCATCTCAGCCTGCTCCTGGTTTATTCAAGTTTTTAATCCAACCTTCTATATACAATAAAACGGTTTTTAAGCTTGCGGTGTTTGCGATGAGCTGACGTACAGCACTTATAGAGCCCCCCATCTATCAGCAGGCGGAAAGTCGTTCACCTCCCCCACTTCTGTGAACGGCTGCTCTCCCAACGTAAACATCAGTTTGAATCTCATCCGAACTTTTTCCTGAAAGACAGAAAAGTAGAAAAAAGGCAGACATTGTTAGATTAATTTACACGGTAGGAGGAGTGACCCCCTCCTGCATATCTTTTATCTGACTCCACCCTTCCAACGAATTACAGGGTCTGACCAGCAGATGGCGCTTCTCTTTAGCTCTTAATGTCCACAAATCAAGACAGAAAGAAAATTTTAGTACAAAGATTGATGTTTATTAAGGAATTGTAGAGGACCTGCCAAGGACCAGCCAAGGACCAGTCAAGGACCAGTCAAGGACGAGGCAATTGATTTTTGATTAATGGCTTAATTTGTGCATTTCATATCGGGAGGGGGATGTTCCTTTTTCTTCACAGCCATTTCGAAGTGGACTAACATTTTACTTTTAGGGTGACCACAAAAGTCTCAGATAGTCCCAGAATGCCCCATTTTAGCTTCATTAAAAAAAAAAAATTCCCAGCGATGTCTCCAGAAGTAGAGTTTGGCAATATGAAGAAAATCTAATATCACGCTATATCTGGGCTATATCGCGCTACATGATATATATCGCAATATGTTTAAATTACCTTCAAAAACAATAGAGGGCATAAAATTGTGCTGATATACTGATTCAAACGTTTGGTTTTAAATTTTTTGTTATTTTAATTTCACTGGCTCAAAGCTTTTCACGAATAATTCAGTCACTTGATGTCTTTGGGTGTCAGAATTAAACCTTTAAAGTCGAATTCTCCCGAGTGGTGCCAGACTTTACACGAGTGAATAAAGTGAATGTGATTCGTTGTTCATCAAGGGGGCGGGACTGTTGTGGCGGAAGGTTCAGAAGCAAGTTTGGTTTTAGCCGGTTTGTCGGAAGCATCTTGCTAACCAGTTAGCAACTTATTGCTAGCAGGTTCCCAATGGGAAATTCCATTGGGACCAAGTAGCACTAAATTGGTGACTTAGAAACGACGCTGTCAAGGAACGCTATGGACAGCGGAAACATGCAAGAGGAGGAGAGTTTAGTGTCGGAGGTCATGGATGAGTCTCCTCCGTCATCCATTTTTTATTTAGAGGAGGAAAGCGGGGACGAAGATGTTGTGGAAGAGGACGCCAGGGCGGCAGAAGCTTGGTTTGGTGTAGAAGGCTTCCAGCCGTACATGTTTGAGCCCTTGCCTCGCAACGCTGCCAGTTCTGTTAGCTCTACGCCTGCCGAAGACACAGACGTCCATCCCCGTGAACACTGGGACGCAACTCAATGGGAAAGGAAAGGATTCTGATTTCAACCGTTGCGTATATTAGCTGCGACACATGAATCAAGATGCTATGACCGAAAACATTTGATTGACAGATGACCTTTGATATATGATTGGCCAAAATTTAGGTGTTCAGGCTGACGTAGAACTAACTGGCCTGCAGAAGAAAGAAAGACAGAAGCATGCTGGAGCAGCAATAGTACTACTTAAATCCTGCAGCATAGATTTGAACATGAAAAAATGGAGGAAGGGAAAATAACGGGATAGGTGAGGTGCAATACTGAGGTAATCACATGCAAGACTTAAAATAACAGCTTGAAGTAGAGGTCTACCTTCAGAGGATTTGCCAGCAGCACGACCTGAGAGATGGCAGCAGGGGGGAGAATTGGATTGAAAGGAGCCAGGTCTGTCCCAGAGGGCGGCTGCAGCTTCACCTTCATCGTCTACAGACATGATTGAAAAAAAAGTAATCCAGGAGCACAAAGTAAGCTTTATTCCAGCTTCAAAATAAGAGATGTGAGGCGTTACCCTGGGCACAGCAGCCTGGAGAACAATGTTCCTGACGGGCTGCGGGGCTGTGTTGAGCATTGAGGTCACCATCACCAGCACGTCAGGCCTGCTAGGCGGGCAGTCGGAGGCAAAATGGAGCAGGACGCGAACACCGTTTCTGTCGTACGCCGTCACAGGACAGAGCGTACCTATAAACAGGACAGACGAAAAGCAAAGGATGACGACCAAACAGTCACCAGCTCCTTCAGAGAGAAAGGTAACGCTTTCTTTTACATAATAAGTCACACTATATAACTTGGTAACAAGAAAAACTATTTGGTAATTACCTCAAAATTAAGATATATAATTTCAAAGTAATTTTATGTAATTATTACAATTGTACGTCATTATGCATCAATGGAGACGTGGGTTACCGTATAACAGTTTCTATTATTGGCCACCACCTACCAATGGCTAACAAAGTAAACAGTATGTTCCTAATAGACCACTTCGCTCTCAATCTGCAGGTTTACTAGTTGTTCCTAGAATTTCTAAAAGTAGAATGGGAGGCAGATCTTTTAGTTCTCAGGCTCCTCTCCTGTGGAACCAACTACCAGTTTTAGTCCGTGAGGCAGACACCCTGTCTACTTTTAACCCTATAATGCCAAATGTATGATATTTGATACATACGGTTTCTGAAATGTTTTGCGTCTGACACCTTTTGCATAATTTAATGGTAAAAACTTTGCTCAAAATTCTATTGTACATAATCAGATAAACCTGATAAAAGAGGGCAGAAGACTACACAAAAATAATCCTGACTTATCGCATAGTAATAATTTATTAATATCAAAAATGTATTTTTGTTCTTTCTTTTTACATATTTTGTTAAAAGGCCAAATAAGGACTTCAAACAAAAAAAAAAAGTAATTTTCTGTTTTGTTTTATTCTTGGATCGGGCTTTAAAGGGTTAAGGCTAGGCTTAAAACTTTCCGTTTTGATAAAACTTCTAGTTAGAGTGGCTCAGGTTATCCTGAGCTATCTCTATAGTTCTGCTGCTATAGGCTTAGACTGCTGGAGGACATAGGGACCCCTTTTTCATCATTCTGTTTGAGAAGTCGCTGTTCATACAAGCTTACTTTTCTTAAGATTGGCAATTTTCCCACTATGTGAGACTCTGCGCCGGTAGGTGAAAATGGTGACGAGCGCGTAGGATGGCCTTACGTAAACATATCACCAGAATGATTGACAGTTAGGAGGACCATTTATTTTGAGGATCCAACCGGAAAACTAACATCCTCCACTATACGTTTAAGAGGATTGGCTCTCTGTATTCTAGGTTTAGTTTTCTCATATAAGCCAAGTAATAAATTGCATTTTACTAGAAAATATTAGATTAGTTTAGTGCTGTTGGTGAAATGACTGAGTTACCTGGTAATAGCAGTTTGAAATCTAAGAAGTCTGACTTTACCTTGTCTCCCTAAAATTTGAAGCAGAGCACTTCCCAGAATTATCCATAAAAAGTTACCTAATAATACAGTGTAACTTGTTATGTTATTACATAGTTATTGATGTACTGTAAAAGAAAACTGTAAATGTCATTATAAATATTTCTGTGTCGTAAAAATGTTTATTTTGCTCCAGCGGTAATACAGCCAATGCTTTTATTATGAAAGGCCCAGAGCAGGAAAGTGATGTGAATAGATTGTCGCAATGTGTACAGCAGTGAAGCGAAACACCGGTGTGCAGAGAGAAGCTGTGTTCTAAAGTTAAAAACAGAAAAAAGTTATATTGCTACAGAGTAATTTAAATTTGCAAAAGGTCCTTAGAACCTGGTTGATGACGGAACAAAGTTCTTATCAGTGTTTTTTTTTTTAAGCATATTTAGTCATATTTCAGGAAGCTTACATGTTGCTTTATGTTTTGTTGTAGTTACATTTTCGTCCACTAGACGGGGCTAATGGTGTCTGTTAAGTTTGCCACGCTTATTCAGCGACACAAATTATATGCTATGTGAAATCACAGATGGTTACATTATGCATTTTATTTTATGGTACACACATTATAAAAATACTAAAGGGTTTAATAAATATCCATGGCAAAAGATGGTGATAGCACTAAAGGTAAGAATTGTCCAGATTAAAAAGGTTGTAATAATTCAAGGTTAAAAAGGATTCATGGTAAATTGATGAGGTAAAAAAATTTTTACGGTGTGTTCACAAGCAAGGCTATTCAATAAAAAAGGATTATGAACCATCAGTTTGAGAGACCTTTTCAACCGGGACGTTACACCACTGAAAGAAATACTTTTGTTTTAACCCCTGAGAGAAAGTTTATTATGTTGGACTGAATCATAAACGCATTTTAGGAAGAAGTGATTATGTTTACCACAGTAACATCAATGTACTCAACAATTTAACCAGCTCTTCTTTATTCTAATGATTTGCTCTTTTACCCACTAGGTGGCAGTAGAACCCAACAGTTCAGCTTTCAGAGTAGAAATCAAAAGAAAAACAGTTTGTCTGAGAAACACTCAGTAAAAAGACTGCTGTGGAGGAAACATGAATCAACTGGAGGTTTTTAACTATAAATATTTACATCATCATGCAATCTAAATGTCTGTGTCTGCAATAAATGTTGGCCATTATAAAGTAAAACCTTTTTTTTTTGTTAACTGCCAGCTCTGAATAGTTTATCTGATAATGTGCACATATGGAACGTTAAAGTCCAGAGTAACAGGAGCTTCAGCACCATCTGCATCACAGATGGGATCATTTTGCAGCCCCTTTATTAATTAGCCATTAAAAACACAGCTTTTTTCAGCACTGCAAAGTGTAAAACCATGTCTCAGTAGGTATGAATATTCACTCTGTATTAACCCTTTAGAGGGCACTCAGTGGAATACTTTGAAAATCAAAATTTCAAAGACAACAATGTTAATGGAGTCCGGGACAAAACACCTTATTACTTTTGTAACAATCAATATATATATTATTGGTGGGCCGTTATCAGGCGATTAAAAAAAATATCACTGTTAATGTCACAGGGTTGCATGGGAGGAAGAGCTGGGCTTGCAGGTTGGGAGTCATGGAGGATTCGGTCATGCTCTATTAATGTAACAGGGTTTTTATATATTTTTTATATATTAGGGGTGGAACGGTTCACAAAATCCACGGTTCGGTTCACGGTTTCGTGGTCACGGTTTTCGGTTCTGTTCGGTATATGTTTATTGTTACACCGAAAAATAAAAAAATTCATAAAATTTATAAAAATTAATGAAAAAATTAAAATTTATGAAATAAATGAAAAAATCCAAAAAGCTTAATGAATTGTAATTATTTTAAATGATCCGCGGAAACCCTGGATCATTTCCGCATGTTTTGCTGCTTTGAATTTAATCATCTGGCGCATGCCCTCTACGATCTCCAAGGAACTCAGAGCGGAGCGGACGAAGCCACAGTGGAGGCTGTAGGCTTTGCTTTGAGCAGCCAGTCTGGAGCGCAGCGGGGCGGAGCGCTGACGGAGTATGAGGGATTTGGGGGTTAGCATGACATGTTGGTCATGTTGCTGTTAGCATAAACAAAACGTGTTGCACAATGCTTGCACACTGTTGCACTTTTATCCACCACTTTCTTTCCGCCGTCATCGTAGGTCACTCTAAATTCAAAGTGGTCCCATACAGCAGACCTATAAAGTGCTGCTGGCGCGTCTTCCAACTCCTGTTCTTTCCCACTCGCCATACCCACACAATTCTCCACAACAACTGATTTTTTCCTGCTACACCCGGCTACGCTGCTTCGCTTCTTCTTCTACTTGTTTACTACTGGTGGTTGGCTTTGGTCGCAGTACCGCCACCTTCTGCTCTGGAGTGTAAACGCTTCGCCTATGCGAAAAAGGAGCAGCGCTTGAACCGAACGCAACACACGCGAACCGAACCGAGACAGTCGAACCGAACGGTTCGGACGGTTTTCATAAACCGTTCCATCCCTAATCTTTACCGTCGACAGCCTGCAGCCAAGTCCAGAATTCCTCGTTTTCCAGCCACTTTTGTTGAAATTTGTATTTTCCTATTCTCTAGCTTTTTTTCCGCCTCGAGCTTATTTTCCGAACAAACGGCTTTAGGATCAACCGGAAGCAGTTCTACACAAATATATTGCGATATAATACATCTGACAAAATTGTTTTTATAAATCTTTTTTTTTTTTTTTAAAGCATTTTAAATACGACGATAATCATATATAATCAATTTTAATGCCATATTAAGGCCTTCATTTGAAAAACAGTGATTTAATGACTTTCAATGACCCGCGGAAAAAGTGTGTAAAGCACCAGTTAACTCAGTTCAAGGTTTTTCATAGACTTGTGATATTTCCCTCAATATCCCCAAAATGTGATGGATGCGAGTCCGCTGACGGCTCCTTGACTCGTCTGTTCTGGTCATGCTCCTAGCTCTTTCATATTGGTGCGACATTTTCAAATGTTTTTCTGAAGTGTATAAGTACGGTGGGATATCTTTTTTTTATGAAGCTAAAATGGGGCATTCTGAGACTATCTGAGAAGGAAATGTTTTACTTTTGTGGTCACCCTAAAATTTAAATGTTAGTGCACTTCAAAATGGCTGTGAAGAAAAAGGAACATCCTTCTCCCTTTATGAAATGCACAAATTAAGCCATTAAGCACATTTATTGTGGTAAATATTCATGAAATCAAACATTTCAAACAATCAAGAAGAACCAGACTGAGAGAGTTGTCTCTGTCATGCACTCTCTGCTCTGTGCGGCGCAGTGCAGCCGTGCGTGCCACGTAACACGAGAGCCGTTAACAATGGTGCATAACTTCCTCCTCGGAGTTATGAGGAGGAGGATAGAAGCCCTTCAGAGTTATCAGCCTCGACCTGAAAGAACATGTGATGCTCTTGGATGTGAAAGCAGGATTAGGACGCAGCACAGCTGAGCTGCCGTCTCCCGGTACGCTGAGACAGAAAGGAGCAACAGAAAGGGCGAACAGCCGCAGCATAAGTGGAAATTGTGCTGAGGGCTAATTTTCTGTCCATTAGCTGCTGGAGAAACATTACTATGCAGGCTAGAGGACACTTATTGCAGAGAAAGTTTCTAGGAGCGCTCAAAAAACAAAACAAACGCTCTGAAGTGCACCCTGATTCCAGAACCCCAGATTACATTGTTTGGATATTGTCCTTCACTTAGGACTT